GTTTACAAGAATCGAGAGAGGTAAATAGTGGTGTCCCCCAAGGGTCTATACTGGGACCAGTCCTATTCAACATATTCATAAATGATCTGGATAAAGGGGTAAACAGTGAGGTGGCAAAATTTGCAGATGATACAAAACTATTCATCAATAATTTAGATCAGTGTTTCCCAAACTTGGGACGCCGCTTGTGTAGGGAAAGCCGCTGGCGAGCCGGTTTGTTTACCTGTCCCGTCCGCAGGTCAGGCTGATCGCGGCTCCCACTGGCCGCAGTTCGCCGCTCCAGGCCAATGGGAGCTGCTGGAAGTGGCGCGGGCCGAGGGACGTACTGGCTGCCGCTTCCAGCAGCTCCCATTGGCCTGGAGCGGCGAACCGCGGCCAGTGGGAGCCGCAATCGGCCGGACCTGCGGACGCGGCAGGTAAACAAACCAGCCCGGCCCCCCCAGGGGCTTTCCCTACACAAGCGGCGTCCCAAGTTTGGGAAACACTGATTTAGATAATGGTATAGAGTGTACACTTATAAAGTATGCAGATGATACCAAGCTGGAAGAGGTTGCAAGTGCTTTGGATGTCAGGATTAGAATTCAATATGATCTGAACAAACTGGAGAAATGGTCTGAAGTAAATAGGCTGAAATTCAATAAGGACAAATGCAAAGTGCTTCATTTAGGAAGGAATACTCAGTTGCACACATACAAAATGGGAAATGACTGCCTAGGAAGGAGTACTTAGGAAAGGGATCTGGGGGTCATAGTGGACCATAAGCTAAATATGAGTCAACAGTGTAACACTGTGGCAAAGAAAGCAAACATCCTTCTGGGATGTATTAGCAGGAGTGTTGTAAGCAAGTCACGATAAGTAATTCTTCCGCTACTCCACGCTGATTAGGCCTCAACTGGAGTACTGTGTCCAGTTCTGGGCGCCACATTTCAGGAAAGGTATGGACAAATTGGAGAAAGTCCAGAGAAGAGCAACAAAAATGATTAAAGGTCTAGAAAACATGACCTATGAGGAAAGATTGAAAAAATTGAGTTTGTTTAGTTTAGAGATGAGAAGACTGAGAGGGGACATAACAGGTTTCAAGTACATAAAAGGTTGTTACAAGGAGGAGGGAGAAAAATTGTTCTTCTTAATCTCTGAGGATAGAACAAGAAGCAATGGGCTTAAATTCCAGAAAGGGAGGTTTAGGTTGGACATTAGGAAAAACTTCCTAACTGTCAAGGTGGGTTAAGCACTGGAATAAATGTGGAATCTCCATCATTGGAGATTTTTAACAGCAGGTTAGACAAACACCTGTCAGGAATGGTCTAGATAATACTTAGTCCTGCCATGAGTGCAGGGGACTGGACTAGATGACCTCATGAGGTCCCTTCCAGTCCTATGATTCTACTCAAGATAGTCCAGTCCCAAGCACACTACGAAGAGCTACAAAAGGATCTCACAAAACTGGGTGACTGGGCAACAAAATGGCAGATGAAATTCAATGTTAATAAATGCAAAGTAATACACACTGGAAAATATAATCCCAACTATACATATAAAATGATGGGGTCTAAATTAGCTATTACCACTCAAGAAAGAGTGGTCATTGTGGATAGTTCTCTGAAAACATCTACTCAACGTGCAGCTGCAGTCAAAAAAGCAAAAAGAAAGTTGGGAATCATTAGGAAAGGGACAGATAATAAGACAGAAAACATCATATTGCCTCTATATAAATCCATGGTATGCCCACATCTTGACTACTACATGCAGATGTGGTCACCCCATTTCAAAAAAGATATATTGGAATTGGAAAAAGTTCAGAAAAGGGCAACAAAAATGATTATTGATATGGAACGGCTGCCATATGAGGAGAGATTAATAAGACTGGGACTTTTCACTTGGAATAGAGACGACTAAGGGTGGATATGATAGAGGTCTATAAAATCATGCCTGCTGTGGAGAAAGTAAATAAGGAAGTGTTATTTACTCCTTCTCATAACACAAGAACTAGGGGTCACCAAATGAAATTAATAGGCAGCAGATTTAAAACAAACAAACAAAGAAGTATTTTTTTCCACACGACACACAGTCAACCTGTGGAACTCCTTGCCAGAGGATGTTGTGAAGGCCAAGACTATAACAGGGTTCAAAAAAGAACTAGATAAGTTTATGGAGGATAGGTCCATCAATGGCTATTAGTCAGGATGGGCAGGGATGGTTTCCCCTAGCCTCTGTTTGCCAGAAGCTGGGAATGGATCATTTGATAATTACCTGTTCTGTTCATTCCCTCTGGGGCACCTGGCATTGGCCCCTGTCAGAAGACAGGATACTGGGCTATGTGGGCCTTTGGTATGATCCAGTATGGCCGTTCTTATGTTCTAAGAATCAAACTGAGTATCACTGATCACAACTAACTCCACATGCTGAGATTATCACCATGCCTTTACATGCTGTCTGCTGTGTGGTGTTCCAACAAAAACAAAAGGACAGATGGTTCAAGTAATCTAAACTAAGCAGGTCAAAGATGACAGCGAAAATACATTTTATTTCTATAATTTAAGTTGCTTATACCCCTCAGTTTTAATTCATTAAATCTTAAAATTGGGTATTTTTAAAACATTCATATAAAACGATGCTTAGTAACACCCACTATATATTTTCCAGTTGTGAAATGATTAAAGATGCAGATTTTATGCTGTATCCAAATTTTTAAGAGTATATAATTTAAAACATCCTTGGGTTATCCAGCACTGGCTACCTTATATAAAAATGCATAAATAAAGGGTTTAAGGAAAGAGAATTACGGGCCTTTATTCATTATTTCAAGTTGTGCAAGCAATTCATGCTAAGTCAAACTCTGAGGAGCCTGGGTATTCAGCACCATGAAATGCCCATGCTGGTCAACAGTCACCATTCAGATTTCCATATAAATATTATGTTGAAGACCTTATTTTTTAAATGTATTAATCATTCCCTTTCGCTTTCATGTATTTCTGAGGCACTTATCAAACACCCTGTTAGATAAGCACCATGTTCGATGTCACAAAATGTGCAACTGAAGTGGGCTGCAAGGCTGCACACAGAACACAGCCATCAGATATGAGAGCTGTAAAAAAACAAAAAACAAAAACAAACCACCAAAATTGTGCCTGTAAACTTTAAATATTTCAACATGTAATATTGACACACAAATGGACGTCTTTCCTAAAACGGCAGAAATAGTTTTTTTTGTTTTCAGTGATGCAATCCTCTTTTCCACTGTATTTCACCACATCTTCACCATTTGCAAATCTTCTGATTCTTTAGGATGGAATTAAACATTTCTATTTATTCTGTGCTGCTTTTTCCCTTAACTCCAGGATTTATTATTCAATTCCACATGCACAGATAGCAAATTATCTCCAAATGTTCCACGGTGAGTTCCTATTGTTAAGAATTACTGAGCAAGATCAATTGACAGTCTTTGATGTTTCCCATTATTTTAAAGGTTCCTTTTAAAACAGACTATGTTTTGAATTTGAGTCTAAAAATAAAACAAAAGTGAGGTGTATCATTTTCTAAGGGGTTTACTTCCTTCTTTTTAACTAAAATAACAAACATTTTAACAGATCTGTGGCTGATCCAAGGTATTGCATTCTCACAGATAAGGTATTAAACAAATAAGGAAAACATCTGAATTAAAAAGGTACACAATTTGGCCCAATCAGGGTTTCACATTTCAATTTAAACTGTATTTTGTTTCTCCAAAGCTTAAAAAAACAAAACAAAAAAAATCTCATCTCTTTCTTTTCTGAAGAGGTTCCTATAGAAGGAGGAATATTTGGTTGGTGGAAGAGTTATTTTGCTTGTTAGTTAGCCCAGTGGAATTTGGCTGATGTATCATGGGGTTTATTTTCTTTGACTCATAATGCCATGTGGTCGACAGGGTATTTCTACACCATTCCTATGGCATCTCTATTTCAGGAGGTGGTGTCCCTGAATATAATACTTATCAAGCTGTAATGCTGAAAATAGCTCATTGAAACTCCAAGAATACATACTTTTTCATAACTAAATAGTCAGTGTCATGTATCTTCAACTAAATCTGTATCATGTAATTCATTGAGAAACAAACAAACTACTTTTAGCAACCTTAATTTTTATTTATTTTTTAGTGTGGGTTAACGTAACTGTATTCACATGCAGTGGACCAAATCTGATTGCTTTTTTCTTGTTTCCAGAGACCAAACTTGAAGCACATGAAAAAGCAGCATTAATATGTGCCCATATTCTAGCTGAGATGGGCCCTTGCAGCGCCCACTAAGAGTAAAAAGAATCTACACAGGGGAGAATGAGACTGTCCGCAGAGACCTTTGTCAGGCACCAGGTATGCATGAACACGTAGACCACTTCCTATAACACGAGGCCACACCCCTGTAGTTTCGCCTCCATGGCTCCTGCAGCTATCATAGTGGGTCCCCATGTACAACATCAAAATAGATGCTACACTGAGGACACATTACAAATTAAGATATGTAGATATGGAATACTGACATTTCTTGATATGTAGAAATGCAATACTGACATTTCTAGTGCTATAAAGCTTTTACAGTTACTGTGTTTTCATGGCAAGTTTAAACCTCTAAATGAGGATTCAGTGGTAATTTTCCAGATCTGGCTATTAGAGATAAGTCATTACAAAAAGCAACAGAATTCAGATTGCCCCATACTACATTTATGCATGAGACTAGTTTAGTCTATAAAGGGTTCTTCTGCTTTGTAAGTCAGCTAAAATATAGCAAACTGAACTGCTCTGTCCTAACATTTTGAACAAGCATGAAACCAAAATCTTAAGACAGTTAATTTGTTTTTCATTTACTAACAAGTTTCCCAAGAATTAGATCACTGTGTTATCTCCCCTAATTCAGAGGTTGTGCATAAAACATCATGGATAAAAAGCACTACTTGTTAGAATGAAGCTTTTACAATGCTTGTTTTCTTGTCTATTTTTTCCCTGCTGTCTAAGGAAGGCAGTCACTCACCAAGTGGCAGAAATGCAAGACAGTTTCCAGCCATGGACAGCTCATTGAGGCTAGGGAGTTGGCAGAGGTGGCGGGGGACACACCATAGATAATTCCCGTCAGCACTCAGGTACTGCAGGGAAAGGCACATATGCAGCCTTTCAGGTAAAGCTATCAAACGATTGGTTGAAATGTCCAAGGTCTGCAGCTCCCTCAGGTCTCCGACTTCTACAATCAAAACATCAGATATTCACACATGGCATTAATCACTGTATTTCTGCAACAAGACGACAAAAAATACAAAATGAAATACAGCTCACAGAAAAACTTTAGATATTTACGTGAACGTGGCAGCCTCTACTTAATTTGTTAGCCAACTCCATCCTTTTGCCAGGCCAGCCTCCCTCCACCTTCCCAAAACTAGCACAAGTCTCCCATATGCTTCCTCCCATTACACTTCCCCTCCTTATCACTGCTTGGCTTCTTCACCAATACCAGAATTTGACAACTAACATTTAATGCAAATTCCCTCCAAAATGTATTTGTAAAATCCTAATAATATATCATTAACATTTGTTTAAATATTAAGGTATCATCACATTTTATGTTTGCACAAGATAAGGATAAGGAAAACTGGAGTCATCTAAACCTATTAAGAAAAAACAGCCCTCCAAACCACTTAATTTGTAACTGAAGTTCTACAGACCTCTCTGGATATCATATTAAAAATATGGTCCAAGCTACACAGTTTTAAGTAATTAAATTTCACTGACTTGTAATTACATTTAAAAAGACAAAAATACGAAGGTTCAGCAAAGTTTTGGAGATCAACTTTGATATTATTATGAATGCTAAATTCTTGGAGAATAGTTTTTCTATTATTTGGAGTGTATTCAGATCTGCTGCATTCACAGAGTTCCCTTTTTCTTACCAAAATAAAAGTGTGGAAACCAATTAAAAACAAATGAAGCAGGTTGAAGCTCATCAGTAGTCATGTTGTTCTGGAACTGCCAAGAGCACCATGCTACATATCTGTGCATTATGATGTAAGAACTTTGGCTCAGAACTAAGCACTTCATTTCTTTTGCTTTGAAATTCCCATTTTCCTCTCAAATCCTTATCTTGGGAAGCAGGTATCAGCTGGGCAACATGTGTAAATATATGAGGGGGAAAAAGTTTGTCTAAGGTAAATTTAAATAAGTATAAGAAAAATATCAAATTTCATAGATCTGGTTAAATATGGTAATCAATGTGAAAAAACTGCAGCCACCAGACATCAAACACTTCATATTTACACACAAAAAACTGTCCATTACTTTCATCATTATGTGCTTGAAAGTAAAACTCAATTAATGTAGTTATCTGTAGGTTTGCATGCACACACATACAAAATCATTCTGATCCCATTTTCTGACTTTTTATGCTGAGTTATGAATTTTTAAAAAATGTGTATTATTTCTGTTTTCCCCATAAATTTTATGCATCAGTACCTACGGAACCTATGGCCATAGGCACATAATGCATTTTACGTTGTTTTTTACTACTAATATAGCAACTGTAGTTTGTGTAAGTACCTCTGAAAAAATACAGCAGAATTTTATTATATGAATACTTATACTAGTATGCAGTCATCTGTATTTTCTTGTGGAACTGCCTTTATTACTATAAATATAGGTATAAACAAATGATTGGACCAAAACCAAAATCACAAACTTGCACTGGTGCAGTTTACCTCATATAAACCCCATAATACACCTGTGCAGCCCACATACACTGAGGATCTGCATTGGTTTGAATATCACCCAAATAGACCAGTGCTCTTAAAAAAAAAAAAAAAAAAAAAAAAACTAAGATAAATATAACAAGCTGATGTGGGAACTGGTGGTTGCTTGGCTACAGCTAGCTAGTCAACTAGCCCATCCTTGATTAAGTTTCAGGTGCCGCAAACTGGTAAATCACCAAGAACCTGAGACAGGAAACAAGGAAAGGAGCAGGAACCCTCAGGAGAAAGTGAGGCTGGCCCACGATGCTTTGGAGTGAGGACCTTAAGCCAGACCTGATTAGTAAGCCTCATAGCACTTCTGGGCCAAATATTTATGCTAATTTTGTTGCTATTCTTTTGTCCCCACATTGGGGAAGGTTAATTTTATTTGTTTATTACCTTGTTTGGTCTGGAGCACCTTTTCCTTTAAAAACAAAAACCTCTGCTTCTTGGTCCCTGTGACAAATAGCATCATGGTAGGATCCCCCAAATTACTTTAGACTTCTAATTATTCCAAGCAAAGACCCATCTATTATGACTGTAATAACTCACGCTGCATCCAGACCGGAGCAGAAAGATTTATTTTTTCCTTTTCTCTAGATTATTTGAAGAAAAGTACAAAATGCAACCCACTAACACCATACATCGTAACAGTTGGCTTTTCATTTTTTAATGAAAGAAAACTATGCTCCTGGTCAAGCAAGGTTACGCCCATGCATGTTGCTATTGGATATGCAAAGAGTGGCAGATTTTCACACTTCCCTGGAGGAAGAATGTTGCCTCCACATCAAATCTCAACCGTGAGGCTCGTGGAGTGGCAATTCAAAAAACGCTCTTTAGCTCAGATGCAGAGTGTAATACTAGTGGGGTCACCAGGCTGGTTTTAAAATACTGTTAGAGGAAAGGTTTCAGAGTAGCAGCCGTGTTAGTCTGTATCCACAAAAAGAACAGGAGTACTTGTGGCACCTTAAAGACTAACAAATTTATTTGAGCATAGGCTTTCGTGGGCTACAGCCCACTTCATCAGATGCATGCTTACGTTCAAATAAATTTGTTAGTCTTTAAGGTGCCACAAGTACTCCTGTTCTTTTTGTTAGAGGACACTTTCTTTTCATAACTAGGATTCTAAAACAACACACAAAGTGAAAACTGAACTCTTCTCTTGTTGCACCTTCTCCTTAACTCTCGGTAAGCACCACGGTAACTTCAGATACAAGATTTGGCTAAAGGAAATATTCCTTGTGAACAAACAGCAGTAAAGCTGCAGAGCTTCCTAAGCGAGTATTTGAAATTAAGATGACAGGGCCTGATTTTTGGAGTGGCAGAGAGCAATCACAACTCTTGCTGAAATCAATGGGAGCTGCTGCTGCTCAGCATCTCTGAGAATTAGGCCAGAAAGTCTTTCTATTTTACTAGGAATTGTCCCCTTTTCAGTCATTTGGAATTACATTCCTCCAAGCACATAAATGGGTAGTCATAGTCCACAAAACTCACACATTAAAGGTACAAAATACAATTACTAACTGGAATACACTGTTTAAACATGCTGTGTGTTAATGATTCTAAGTAAGGATTGTTAATTTAATGCAGACATGGACTACTTTTAATGACCATAGCCCTTAATGTTAACTATTGCTGCAATAAAATAAAGAAACATGAACACAGGTATCAAATGCCACATGTTTGTGATGCATGCAATGAAGAAAGTCACCACTTAATGCCTATAGTTTTACGCATTTGTTTTGAAGGGGTTTTCACTTAGTTTTAGTGGCATGAAATGCCTATTTTGCTTTAATTCACTTAATAGATTAGTTGAAAAAGGATGCCAATAATTCAGCGATTTAAAAAAAAAAATCCTCTCTCAGCAATACATGTAACTGAAAAAGTCAAAGTTCTTTTGCATTAAGATCACCAACTTTGGGGTGAGTGTTATGATTTCTACATTTCTTGTATTTATTCGGGTTCTACAGGTTGAATAACTTTGGTTTTCAAGTTTCCTGAGTAATTATGGCCTACTGGTAAATTTCATTTGCCAAACGCTCACATAAAAAGCAACCACCCATTGGTCAAGCTAATTATCCTAACTGATGGCAAGCTTGCAAGAAACAACTGAAAAGACCCAAGTGGCTTCATGGATCAGTTTTATTTTTTGAGACTAAAAGGCTCTATAAATCAGCTCACATCATTCAGCTCTTAAGAAATACAGCACTATGAAATAACATGGCAAAAAACTAGGGCTCCAGGCTTGATCTTCATTCAAGCACATAAGCCACACGTGGGAGCATAGGTCACTTGTCTACACTGGTGGGGGGGGGAAATCGATCTAAGATACGTCGATTTCAGCTACGCTATTCTCGTAGCTGAAGTTGCGTATCTTAGATCGACTTAGAATCACTTAGTTTGCGGGATCGACAGCCGCCGCTCCCCCGTCGACTCCGCTTCCGCCTCTCGCCGTGGTGGAGTTCCGGAGTCGACAGCAGAGCGATCGGGGATCGATTTATCCGTGTCTACACTAGACGTGATAAATCGATCCCCGATAGATCGATCACTACCCGCCGATCCAGCAGGTAGTGTAGACGTACCCTTAGTTCCATTCAGCCAGCAGTTTCTTGAAACAAATGTAGTTTATTAAGAAAGCCATTATAATTAAAAATATATTATGCTCTTAAATTAGGAATAGATTTTATAAGAGTACCTAAAAATCTCCATATACTGTTAAGAGCAAAGGTGTAAGTATTATTTTTCCTTCCAAAAATGGTGGCCAAACAATTTCTAGAGATTAGCTAGCTATCATTTAATTTTCGCTAGGAGATAGAAAGTTGCAACCATATATTAAGGCCAGATCTACAGTACAAAATTTTGCTAGTGTAGTTATCTTGGTCAGGGGTATGATCTGTGACTGACATAGCAATGTCAGCAAAAGCCCCTAGTATAGATGCAGTTGTACCAGCAAAACTGCAATTTTGCAAGTATAGCTTTTTTTGTTTGGGGGGAGTTGAATAAGCTATGCCGGCAAAAGCGCAGTTTTGCCAGTATAAGCTGCCTCCGTACTAGGAGTGCTTTACAAGTGCAATATATTGATATACCTACACTGTCAAAGCATTCCTATTGTAGATCTGACCTTGGCAAAGTAGTTTCTCCTCCAGTTTCATACACTTACAACTTTACAAAATAATCATTTTTTACTCTGAAATTTTTCATGCTTCGTCTCTGTTCAAAGGTGAGGTTCTCTGAAAGTTTAGAAAATCAATTCAACTTATTCTGTGCAAAAAAACCCAACCAAACAAAAAAACCACACCACCTTGCTCTAAATATATATAAATAGTGACCACCATCCCCCCACCCTAACAAACACAACTTAAATAAAAACAAAACACTGACTTCAAGCATGGGCCTCAATTCTGCAAACACTAAAACAAAAACTTAAATTTACACATACAGACAGTCCCAGGCACATTTGCAAGAT